TTGCCACTGGGAGATATGCCCTGAACATTTCTAAAGTTCATGACATGTAGTCTAGGATAAGCATATTTGAGTGAAGCATGATGTGCATAACATAAAACTTTGTAGAGTCCATATCCGACATATACACCAGCCAGCCAGGCAACCAACCAATCAAATCAATGCAAATGCTTCTACTATTCTAATAGTTCACGTAACCCATTAAAACCTTAAGAGACGGTTGCAAGTAAGGGCTTTGGTTCAGGCCTGCATTAGTTTCTAAGACCTAATCAAGGATAATTGGAGTCTCAGATCGTTTTCGCAGAGCACTGTTAATATAAAGGAACAAGTTAGGGTTTCAAAGTTGTATGACCAAATTTAGAAAATCTTATTAAAATGTGAAATTTCATGACGTATTAAAATATTATTTTTATTAAAGAGTAAATCATTTTGTTAAAAATTATTCCGAATAAACCATGAACTCTAATATATAAAATCAAACTCACCAATCTGTAACATATGATTAACAAAATATGTTCTTAATGGGATGGTGAAAAATAGAGAATATGTATTTGAAAATAATCTAAATTAAACAAGGACTTAAATAAAAGAAGCTGCTTCAATTATTAACTCTTTTTTTTTTTTTTACTTTGACAAAAATAATTTATTTATACTTTGTTTATTAGCATCTTAATATATATATTTTTTTATATGGGACAATCAATTAACACAACTCATTATTTTTGGTTTTAATGAATTTCGATATTTCATTCCTAACTTATTTATTCCTAAAATACAACTATTCAACGAAATAAATGACCATAATTTTGGGATGAAAATTCAAAGTTGACGGTAAGAAAAAGAATTGAAGAGTCAGATGTAAAACGAGGAAAAAAAAAAATAAAAGAGGTTGGCTCAAGAAAATTGGTGCACAAGTGGGGCCATATCTAAAAATCTTCAATTGGGACTGATTTTGTCCACATTGTTACGTGACGACTGGGTCCAAATTAGTAACCAATTATTGAATGTGAGCAGAGTGAAAAAAAATAAAAAATAGAGGATAATACCCAAGTAGAGGTGTCAATCCGAGTGGTCCAGACCCGGTCGGCCCGCCAACATGTGAGCCCGGTAACGGCCCGTGTGAAAAAAAGCCCGCCCACTGCGGGTTCCGGGCCGGTTACGGGTCGGCCCACAATTTTGGACTACAACCCAGGCCCGCCCGCTGACCCATCCGGGTCGAGCCCATGCGGGTCACGG